GCTCCAAGAATTGGTCCCCACCTCTCACATATTGGCATCACCAAGGCAGCTGGGCTGGCAGGCAGCTAGCACGCCAGCACGCACCAGCTGGCATAACTAGCACGCACAGCCCCCAGCCAGCACATGCGTGCTGCTAACGAGCCACGCATGCTGCTGTGCTGGGCGAAGCCCCTCGCTGCTGCTGCTTGCTGCCTGGCGCTGCTTGCTAGCTCGCTGTGCTTGGTGCTGCCATGCGAAGGCATGCACGCAAGCACACAGCTATGCGAAGGCACGGTGCTGCATTGCGAGGCTGCTGCGATGGTGCGATAGCCCTAGGCATACACTCACGCACACACACGCAAGTGCCTAGCACTACGATGGTGTTGTGCTTGCACGATGGCACACACGCACGCACACACGCCAGTGCCTAGCACTGCGATGGTGTTGTGCTGTGCGGAGGGCTGCGATAGGCGATGGGCGATGCTAGTGCGCTAGTGCTAGCTAGGCTGGGCCTTGAGATAGCACCAGGCACGTAGCACTTGCGAGTGTTCCTAGCACGCATGATGTGCCTAGCACCCATGCCTTGTCTAGCACACATGGCGCACCTAGCACTTGCGCCTAGCCATGCATTGTGCATGCTAGCTCGAGCTAGCCTAGCGTCCACAGGGTCAGGCCATAGTGGTGCTATGGCTACGCTCGAACTTGTTACTTGTGATTTTGCGACGCTCGATCTCGACGTCCTAGGCTCGATATCCGACGTCTGAGTTCGTAAAACTCCGACGACTCATTGAATCCTTCGGATTAATTCGTCGTCTCCGATCGGTTGTTCGATTGGGTTCAACCCGAAGGGTTCAGTTAAGATTAAGCTGTAATATTAATTATACCTTAGTATTACTGATCGGAAGCGAGCTCCACCTAGGCATTCCGATCACTTGACCTTACTGAAGAATTAGCTCTATAATAATTCTGACTCCTCTATCAGAATAATACACTTGTTTGAAGGACACCATTCCTTTCAGAACTAATTGCTTGTTGATTTTGCGACGCTCGGTCTCGACGCCCTAGGCTCGATATCCGACGTCTCTGTTCATAATACTCTAGTGACTCATCAAATCATTCGGATTGATTCGTCGGTTTGGATCGGCAGTTCGTTTGGGTTCGACCCGAAGGGTTCAGTCAAGATAAAGCTGTAATGTTAATTATTCACTAATATTACAGATTAGAAGCGGCCTCCACTCGGGCATTCCGATCACTTGATCTCACTGAAGAATTAGCTTCCTGATAATTCTGAACCCTCTATCAGAATAATACACTTGTTGGAAGGACACCATTCCTTTCATATTGCTCCAGCCCTTAGTTGGCTCGGCCATTCCGAGGCTAGGGCTATATATTATGACTTGTCGTTTGGCAGATTTTTCTGTCTTGTCTCTTTACTAAATTCGACTTGACTTACGAAGCTCGGTTTTGACGCTCTAAACTCGTAATCCGACGTCTTTGTTCGTAAATATTCTATTGACTCATTTAATCCTTCAGATAAATTCGTCGTTTGGTTTGGTTACACGATTGGGTGTGACCCGAAGGGTTCAGTCTAGATTAAGCTGTAATATTACTGAAGGGAAGCGGCCTTTAGCTAGGCATTCCGATCACTTGACCACACTGAATAATTAGCTTTCTAATTAATTCTAAACCCTCTATCGGAATAATACACTTGTTCGAAGGACACCATTCCTTTCATATCTTATTTAAACTTATTTGAACTTATTAAGCTTGAATTTAAAATTATCTGAAATTACTTCTCTTACAATAAATGAAGAAATTGATGATGATTTAATATGAACATCATTACATGAACGATTCACAAACTGACCCAAAAAAATACCCGAATTCGATATGACCCGACATGAAATCAACCCGAAACCCATATTAACCCAATATTTGAGATCCGAACCCGAACATGACCTGACTTGGAAATGACCCGACCTGATTATAACCCGCAAATTATTGACTTGATCGAACCCGACTTGAACCCGAGTATGACTCGACCTGATTATTACCCGTAAATTATTGACTTGACTTGAACCGAACCCAACTCGAACCCGAGAATGACCCGACCTGATTATAATTCGCAAATTATTGACTCGAACCGAACCTGACTCGAACCCGAGAATGACCCCAACAAGTTTTTACCCGAATTAAACCCAACCTATTATTCACCCGACTCGAATGTAACCAGACTTGTTATTGACCCGACCTAAACCCAACCCGAACTCGATAAGATGTATGACCCGACGTGACCCGACTCAAGCATGACCCAACCCGAACCCGACCCGCATAGGTTACTACATTGACCCGACCCACTCTAACTTGACTCAAACCCGACCCGTTTACCCGAATTTACAGCTATAACCATACCAGGTATGGGCCTATACTTAGGGGTGAGCAAACCGAATCCCGATCAGAATTTTAGGAACTGGACCCGGAATTGGTTGGGACTGGGTCCTAAATTTGGAACCGAAATTGGAACCGGTACAACCGGGTCGTAAAATTTAGGAATTGGAAATGGAACTACCGGGTACCGGTTCTGGTTCTGGTTCCGGTTCCAGGGTACCCACTTACGCTACAAAAATTTGTCTTTTTAGCGACAAGTAAATTTCTAAAAATCCGTCGGTGGAAATAGCTAGCTACGGATATATGGACAGAATCACTCCATTTGTAAAAACCTTGTCGCTAAATGGATTTAGAGACGGAAAAAAAAATTTGTCGCTAAATTTAGCAACGGAAAAATAAAATCTGTCGCTCATATTAGCAACAGAAAAAAAAATATCCGTCTCTAAATTTAGCAAAGGAAAAAAAAAAAAAAAAAAAAAAAAACATCTCTAAATTTAGCAACAGAAAAAAAATATTTTGTCTCTAAAATTAGAGATGTTATTCGGTTCAACCTAATCCATTTACCACTCTGAAACCTCACTCGTGTCAACCCGACTCGGCTTTGCATGTAATGCTCCTGGAATACCCAATCTTAAGAATCGCAATTGGTAGGAGTCGAACCTGTAACCTCAAAGTCACATGGTGAAACTCTTACCAATTATACCAAATACTATTTGTTTACTTCTACGCACATAATTGATTATAAGTGAAAGAAATATTAGAGACGGAATTGAAAATTCTTCTCTAGTTTAGCAACGGAAAAAAATTCCGTCTCTAGTTTACATAATTTGTTTCTAAAGTAATATTTTACATAATTCGTTTCTAAATAATTTAGAGACGGGATTAAAAATCCGTCTCTAAATTAGGGACGGAATTAAAAATTCGATCCGTCGATCATATCAGCAACGGAATTAAAAATTCGTCGCCATATCAGCAACGAAAAAATATCCGTTTCTAAGTTTAGCAACAGGAAAAAAAAAATTTGTCTCTAAATTTAGCAACGGAAAAAAATCTGTCGGTAAATTAGAGACGGATTTTCAATCCGTTTCTAATTTAGAGACAAATATTTGATTTCATCTCACTAATATTGCGTTTCTATATGGACATTTTTTTGTAGTATTATATACATTCATGAACAAATTATTAGACTGTTTTTAGTCTATTTTCATTTTTAGCGTTTAATATACATATATACATACATATATACATACATATATATCTATATACATACATACATATATATACAAATATATATATATATATGTATATATATATATACATATATATATATATACACATACATATATATGTATATATGTATGTATGTATATATGTATGTATATATGTATATATGTATATATACACACACATAGGGTTGAGATTTGGTGAGAACCACCTTTTATGTAAGAACACTCCTAATATATGAGAACAAATCTAAGCCTTAGGATCAAACGATATAACGGCTCTAATAAATCCAAACTTTTCATCCATATACTTGCTGCTACTCAGAAAAACAGAGTGAAGAAACTACGAGCTTCAATTTCAATGAGATTCAAGGATTTCGAACACAATTCCGTTCGATTTTTGTCAAATTTCAGCGGCAACAAGAATCTACAAGCTTCATAGATTATACAGGTAAATAATGAACAAAAGTTATGTTAGTTTTTTCCGAATATAATTTTCTTAATTTTTGTCAGTATTTTTGAATTTACGCAGTGTTGTTGTTTATCATTATCTTGTTTGTGTTGACAGAATCCTTTTACTTAGTTGATTAATTTTTGTTATGAATTATGTAATTGTGTTGCAATTAAAACTTGGTTTAAAATGGGTTATTGGTGCATTTTTATGATCCTTATGAATATTCTGATAGTGCATACAAGGTGTTTGATAAAATGCTTGTTAGAAATCTTGTGAATTGGTACTCTATTATCAATGAGTTTGTTTTAAATGAGTTCGTAGGTAATACTTCGGATACTTTTGATGCGAAAAATGAACTGCCCTTTGAAAGAAGTTTTCCATCCTGAGCTTTCTAGCACTATTGGTGCCTGAAATATTGATTTGCATCTTCTATTTTATTGCTACAATGAGCATCATCTGTCATGAAATGTGTGGCTTTATGAATCGGAGGTGAAGTTTGTATACAACACTGTAGCCCATTGGAGTTCATTAGTATAATTGTGATTTTACCTATTAGTTACATTTTTCCTAGGATAAGAGGTGCTTCAGAGTGTATGAGTAATCAAAGAAGTTTTATTTTACCTCTCACCTAATAGCATGACCTTACTTTTGTTGGAGGGTTGAATGGAGGAAATTGGGTGGTTTGGGTTGCTATTATGGGATCGTGATTGGTGGTAATTTGTTACAGGGTGTTGTTGGTATGTTGCAATGTGTGGCGTGGCTGTGAGAACTGTAGCAGCAGCTTAGTGTTGGCTGGGAACGATGGCTGCAAAATTGCTGGTAGCAGGACATGGTTGGTGGCGCAGATATTAGGACGTGTTGCCTACAGTGGTGTTATTGTTGTTGTTGTGCATGTGATTGGGTAAGGTGAGGGTGGAGTTGTGGTGTAAGATAAGAGCTTTGGTCAAATGATCAAACTAATTCTTAGTTGCCTGTACAAATAAGCAAAAGCAAGGAATAAATTGGTGCATAATATTTGTCTTATTATTTAACCCTCAAGTATTACAAGATTTTCTTATAAGAGATGATGCATAATATTTGTCTTATTTGGCTTGCGTATGATGTCAAATGAGCAAGCAATTATTTGCTCATTTTTCAAATGAGCAAATTATTCTTGCTCATTTGTCAAATGAGCAAATAAATCTTGCTCATTTGTCAAATGAGCAAGCAATTATTTGCTCATTTATCAAATGAGCACATAATTCTTTGCTCATTTGACAAGCAAACAAATCTTTGCTCATTTATCAAATGAGCAACAATTCTTTGTTCATTTTATCAAATGAGAAAACAATTCTTTGTTGATTTATCAAATGAACTATTTAAAAATTTATAACGTAGAAAATGATTTAAAACATATGATAAAACCTATTAGCTTAACTGGTAGAGCACTATGCAAATGCATAGAGGATGTAGGTTCAATTTCTACATAGGTTATCTCTATAAACAAAATTAATTAAAAAAAAAAATCAATTCGTACTAAATTATATGAGCAAAAAACTGGTTTGAAATGATTTATAACTATATAAACTTTGTTACAATTAAACTCTATACAAACTTGTGTCTCCACTTTACATAAATGAACCTACGTGGGATTCGAACCCACATCTTTTATGCATTTGCACAATGCTCTACCCTTGAGCTAGTAGGCTAACGTATTTAAAACATTCAAACACACTCACAAATGACCATTAATTTGAAAAATGAGCAAGAATCATTTGCTCATTTGACAAATGAGCATTAAATAGCTCATTTGACAAAGGAGCATTGAATTTTTTTGCGCATTTGACAAATGAGCAAAAAATAATTGCTCATTTGACAAATGAGCAAAAAATTAATTGCTCATTTTGACAAATTATTTGCTCATTTTTTACAAATTAGTAAAGAATAAATCAGCAAATGAGCAAACATTTGTTTAATTATTCATTAAATCAGCAAGCTGGAAAAATGATGGAGTTACTAAATTACAATTTCTTTTGTACTTATACTCACATAAAGCTGGAAAAATCGAATTCCTGGTCCAGTTGAGGCAACTTCTTGAACGTTAGATGTGGCCATTGTAGACAATGCCTGGATCAGATAATCACACATGCAAATCAAAGAATGAATTTGATACTTAAGGTCAGAAAGAGAGGAAAAATAGGAAGGGAAAGAAATGTGAGTCAAAACCATAATTGTGCCAGCAGCAGATGTTGCCAGTGCTGTTGCAAATTCTCCTGCAAGAAAATGATCACTTCAAAAAAGGAGGTTTTTCCAGTTTCTCAATTCAGCATAGAGTATCTATACAGCAAGCTTAGACAAAGAAATTAAACACTCCACTATTCAGGAGGAAACTGAGAAAATGAATGTCATAGTAGAAACAATAATAGCATGGTGAAGATGCCCTAGGGAGTGTCAGATATATGCACCTTATGCAGGTACATGCCATATTACATACTTTAAAAGCAAGAACTAATATAAAATGTGGCTCATGAGACTGTGAGACTAGAGTATTGACGAGTGTCAGACTGTGAATACTATTAATTAAAGTATCATCTTCAAAATCATATTCATATATGATAAAGCATCTAGTTTAGAGCATTTGATTCAAAGCATTGATCCAATACTGATTTTAAATTAAAATAAAATATCAAGTTGATTGAGCTTTTTAATGTTCAGATCATAAATCAATGTATTACTAAAGCTTACAGGCTACAAGACAGCAGGTGTCTGTTGGCCTTGTGTTAATTTTGACCAGCTATCCTGAAAACAAGAGTAGCAGTAACAATACCAAATTGCATATTAAGGATACTTTTAGAATGACTTGCATTAGTCTTTTTCATATGAGCATCAATAAACCAAAACACAGATTGACATATCAAAGTAGAATACTTGAACGTTCAGATGAACATCAAGGACTTGAGTTTTTACCTTCGGGGTGAGCCTTTTTTGCATAACTGAAAGAGCAATCATGATTGGCATGGGAATCTTGAAACCCAAGACAGTTGTTGTAATGTCTATATGACTTACATCAATGAGGATGTGGGGCCGGAACCTGAATTTCATTGGGAGTAATCGATAAGTAAATTGCAATAGTCAACCAAAGATATATCCTATATGGTTGTTTAACAATAATGATTTGCTAATGATTCTAATCAATTATTTTCAAATCCCAGATCAATTATTTTCTTTACTCAAATTATAACTGCCAGAAATATTGATAAACTATCTTGTAATTAAACAAAATCCCAAATCTTAATTGTTTTCAAATCACAAAAGAATACAACTATTCTCAACAACCCCCAATTTGAACTATATACACACTTCAGAAGTTCAGATCATCTACACAGCAAGCTTAAGCAACAAAATTATAGCCTCAATCAATTCCTTGCAATTATACCCAGATTTAGAGCTCTGAAATATTCACATTCAGATCCAACACCAGAAAACAAAAACACAAACATCAAAAATGAAAGAAAACTGAAAAAAAAAAATTCAATGAGGCATTTCGTCGAATACCTTGTAAGCAGTCACAATTCTCAGCTTCTTTGCGTACAACATCAAGAACATAATCAATTAATCACCCACATCACAAAAAGATTCAAACAACCAAATTCAATAAAATCAAATTAATAAAATTGAAAAACAAAGATAAAAAGAGAAACCTCCAGAATTCTTCAATAGTAGAGAAATTATAAATGGGTCAAATAGAGCTACCCCAAGCAGCTTGTTTCGATTTAGCAGTAAGATTATCGAACCAAAAAGTCCAAGGATTCTCAAGAGGATGAGTTGTTGCGATTAATTTGCTGGGTTTTTTAGCGTTTGAGTTATCGTCGATAATCTGGCCTTTCTCCAAATCATCATCGTCTTTTCTCTGGTCTTCAATCTCAATTGCCACCATTGATTTCTCAAGCTCTTCTACTGCCATAGTATTGCTTCCCTCTCTAAAATCTTTAAAATTTGTTGGGATTTTCGATTTTTAGAGGAAGGATGAACTTGAACGAGGAGAGAGAAAATTGTGCGTGAAAGAGGAAGGAGGAGAGAGAAAAAACGCATTTGACCAGGGTTAATTGTAGTCGTTGGATGTAATTGATCCAACGGTTATAATGAGTCCTCACATATAAAAGGGTTATATATATATGTATATTTATATATATATATATATATATATATATATATATATATATATATATATATATATATATATATATATATATATATATATATATATATATATATTTTACACACATATATATATGTATACACATATATACATGTATACACATATATACATGTAAACATATATATATATATATACATATATATATATACATATATATATATATATACATATATATATATATATATTTATTTTACACACATATATATGTATACACATATATATAAGCTATTATATTTATGTTAAGCATTAATAATATTTTATCTATTTTACTAACTAGATACATTAAACATATTATATTTGTTTTTTAAATATATTTAGTATAATATAGCTTGGGTAACCGGGTACCCAACCGGGTCCTTCTAGTTCCAGACTCGCCGGTTCCTAACTGGTTTCGGTTTCACTTTCGGGTACACGGAATTTTCGCTCACCCCTACCTATACTTAGTCGTACACTTATACACCATGCTGTAAAAGGAGTTTACATAGGTAGTTTTTAGGCTTGCTAAAAGTTGGGTAAGAGTTAGTTGCACAAGATTGGATAAGTCCTTTCTACGAATATGATGGGTGTCTAGACTTTTTAATGAGTAAGAGCTGAAAATACACAACACTAATCAAATGGATAAATATTTAATCATTTTTTCGACAATTCAAACTCGAATTTCGAGAAATAATTTGAAATCTCGATAAGAAGGATGTCGACGAAATGAACGGAGGTATTTTTTAGAGTTTGTTTAAGAGGGTGTTGGAAAGCAGAGAGAGAGAGAGAGAGAAAGAGAGAGAGGGGAATTCGGGAGTGGGGGAGAGGGGTGTGAAAGGAATGGTGTCCTTCCAACAAGTTTATTATTCTGATAGAGGGTTCAGAATTATTAGAAAGCTAATTCTTCAGTGCGGTCAAGTGATCGGAAAGCCTAGGTGGAGGCCGCTTCTGATCAGTAGTATTAATATATAATTAATATTATAGATTAATCTTGACTGAACCCTTCAGGTCGCACCCCAATCGAATAACCGATCCGAGACGACGAATCTATCCGAAGGATTGGATGAGTCAATAGAGTATTACAAACAAAGACGTCGAATATCAAGCTTAGAGCGTCGAAACCAAGCGTCGTAAGTCGAGTCGAATTCAGAATTCGACGAGACGTGAAATCAAGCAAGCAACAAGTGCAAGCTAAGCCGTAGCATCGCATTGGCTTAGCCATGCGAGTGCTAGGCTAGGCAAGGGCACCAACCGCATGCATGCTAGCGAGCCAAGCATCGCCAAGCACACGCACATCGCACAACACGAGCATCGCAAGCTGCGTGCCATGCGTGTGTGTGTTGTGGCTATGCGTGCTTGCTAGCCAAGTAGCACCAGCCATCACATCATGTTGGCCATCACACAGCACATCACGCAGCATCGCAAGCCATGAGTGCGTGTATGTGGCTGTGCGTGCTTGCTAGCCAAGCAGCCCCAGCCATCGCAGCATGCTGTGCGTGCTTGCTAGTGTAGCAACACGCTATGCGTGCTTGTGCTATGGGCTATGCGTGGTGGGCAACGCATAGCACTCGCACCCGCAAAGCACAAGCAGCAGCAGCCAGCAGCCAACAATGCATGTGTGGCGTGCTTGCTGCCAAGCCCAGCCTTGGTGTTAGGTGCCAGCTGGGCAGCGTTGGCAGCCAAGGCAGGCTGCCAGCCATCCATGCGTGAGGTCAGCCACGGTTTTGGTGGGGACCGATGCTTGGTGGCCTTGCTTGGGGAGCAAGGGGATTTTTGGTCCCCCCCCCCTTTGGTGGTCCTCACCTACCCATGCTCTCCATATGACACTTGGAGCTTGTTGATTACTTTGCATTTTAATTTGTTTTTGATTAAAATAAATTGGTGGAAAAATGCAATTCTCCCACATTGTTGGGTGAAGGGAGATCAAGTCTCCTTTCCTATAAATACCCAAGTTTTGGGTTGGGAAAAAACCACTTGAGTTGAACTCAATAAGGTATCTCCCTATAGGTGAGAAAACCTTTAAGTTCGTAATACTCTAGTCTTTTCTTGGTCTAGCCCCGACTAACCTTCGGGGTAGAGGCCGTTCGGGTCGGGTCTCGAGGGTTGACTCCATCAGAGGCTCGCGCGCTTGCGGAGCTTAAGCTTTGAAGTCAGAGCTCTATAGGAGCAAAGCACGCGTCGAGGGTAAGAATGTCATTTCCCTTTCTCTTTCTTTTGTTGTTTAATTATGTGATTGCATGCTTAGTTGCTTTAATTAGTGGGTGGGTCTTAGGCGGGTTTCTCTTCCGCGTAGCGTTGGACGCTACGAAACCTAACATTGCTCAGGCTAGGGATCTAAGGGAACATCAGAAGGTCAAACGTGTTAAGAGGTGATTTCACATGATAAGGGAATGGAAGTCCGAGGGTGAAATCAGAATTTGTAAGATTGGAACAGACGTCAATGTGGCCGATCCACTCACTAAACCTTTGCCTCAAGTGAAACACAACAAGCACGTTGAGACAATGGGAATCAGGCACGTTGGAGATTGGCTTTGATTTCCCTATCATGTGTTTTAATTAATTTTGAGATTTTAATGTAAAACACTACGTTGAACCATTCGGTTTTGGAGCAATTAAAATTTCTGCAAATTTATTATTACTCCATTTCTATTAATTGTGGTTTAGAATTAAATAATGAGTCTATTCAATTTATGAGAATATTCAAAACGGGGTATCAAGACCATGTCTTGGATAAAGAAACACCTGTTAAGTGAACGTAAAATATTTCAATCGAAAATTATCCCTAATCAAGGTCATTTAAATAATGGACGGTTAATCACTACTACAAAAAAGGTCAAAGAGACCCGTTGGAAATGGCATAAGAGACCTGTTTAGAGGAGGTCTCTAGCTCATAGGTCTCTTTGCTAAAGAAACCTGTTCAACTGAACAGGTCTCTTTGTAATCAATAAGAGACCCGTTAAGTAAGGTAACAGGTCTTTTTGCATGTATACACATCATACACTTAAGAAGGGGAAGGGACCTGTTATTTAACACAACAGGTCTCTTTGAGAGCCATAAAGAGACCTATTTTGTCAGATAACAGGTCTCTTTATTTTATTTTTATAAATAATTCGACGATATATATTTATTATTTTGTAATTACATTCTACTAAAATTGAAAATTGCAGAACCAAACAATTAGATAAATTTACATAAACTTATATAATTATTGAATTTACTAGTAGTTACATTTACAAGTATATACGAACAATAATTTACATGTATAAGAGAATTTAGCCCCACAGATCTCTAATTTCGTCAACATTTTCAAATGAATGAGCACAAGGGTCTTGGTGAAAGAGCTGCAAGATAAACAACAAATCATGATTAACAAAAAAAATTAAATGAGGTAAATTAAAGATATAAATACTGATGTCAAATTGAAAATAAAGCTAAGGCTAAACATGAGTGAATCTCTAACTAAAGCACACCCCACATTGAAATCCGAAGGAGAATACTAATTTTGAAAAGCCACATAAGACACAATAAATATAAATCACAATTTAAAAATAATCACCTTTACCACTTTGTATATGATTTCTTAAATTATTACATCACCATTCTTAAAATAATCACATTATAATAATGTTTGAACTAAATTCATCTTAATCTGCATGTCTATGGTCAAGGAGCTAGTTCAATGCTTACTAGAGCCAAATAAGAACGACAGACAATAAGACCAAAACAATTGAGGTTTGAGCTTACTAGAGCCAAATAAGGTGCATCAACAGGATGACATGATTGCAATATATCAAAAGTAGTCCATAAATAAAATTATAATGGGGCAAAAAGAGGCGAAAAGTACATGGTTCCTAATTGTAGATTGAGCATAAGCTCAAAGTTTTTGTGACCTCTAGTAATTATCTCTCCTTGTTTCTTCTCTAAGTTAATATCTAAGACATACAACACCTGCCAACTTCTTGGACCCTGCATATGTTCATGTATCCCATTAATCATGTATACAAGAATGTAAGCCTAATTATATTACCTAAGGAAAAGTACAGCAACAAGATCTAAAAAAAAAGAAAAAAAAAATGCTTGGGTGTGTTGTAAATTCTCATTGACAAACGAATGCTATCATAGCCAAACACAATCACATCTGACCAAACTAAAATATCAATAAAAAAAAATTGATATACATGCCAACCATTAGGATTCAGGTCCATTAATGATTCTGAAATTCTAGTTTCTATGTTAGTGCAGCTTATTGTTCCATCAAAGGATGCATCATATATAATTCCATCATTGACTACACTAAATCTGTAGGGCAAAAGATAATTGTTAACCGCAAGATCCTTGAAAATTATTAGCTTACTCATATTATCGAAGGCCACTGTACCAGAGGAAGTGTCTACACCGAGGCAGCTAATACATTAAGATTAACCTCATAGTGTTGAGCAAGCAAGAGTGAATATTTGTATAAACTCTTTTCTTGTATACATTATCATAATCCCAGACTACGAGCCGATCTTTCTGAAGAAAAAACAAGGGATTGGAAGATAAAATATTAGAGGCATCAGTGATACAAACTCAACAACAACAATAATCTACCAATATCCAATTAATCAACATTTAAAATACACCCAATTTATCATTCTAATGGAACAATACAAACTCAGCAACAACAATAATCTACCATAGCCAATTAATCAACATTTAAAATACACCCAATTCCCTTTAAAAAAAATTACACCTAATTCATCATTCAAATGGAATGATAAACCCAGACAAAGATAATCTTAATTAAGTCAACACTTGAGCAAAAACCAATAGAGAAAAAAGGGGTTAGATTTCGAATTGTTGTGCTTGAACAACAAGACTATCAAAGCAATTAATCAACATTAATATAAATTCTGCATCGATTACTTAATTTCCAAAGAGACATTCAATTTGTCGTCCAATTACCTCAATAGTGAAACAAAATTCCAAAAAAATGGACGATTAAACCCAATTTTTTTTTTTTTTATCAATCAACAATTAAACATAACAAGCATAAACAAACACGATTAAATTATATTCAAGCAAAGAAAAACTATAATTTCTTGAAAAAAAAACCCAAACCCTAGACATTAAGATTCAATTAAAACCCCCCAAATTAAGCCCTCTCACCACAAATTACGCAAAGGTTGGTATGTTTGAAAAGGCAAACCAGTAAGCTTCAGCGGCCTCCCTGATCTAGAGGGTGACGACGACGGATTCTAAAAGCAAAGCTCTATTACTTTCGATCTCACAAATTGCGACAATTATAGGTCTGAAACGATGGGGCTTGCTTCTTTACTCTGCTCGTGGCTAAAGTAGACTTTCGTGCGACTTTGGTGGGCAAGTTCTTCCTTGCAAAGCTTCAATGGAGATTGAAAGCGAAAAACAAAAAGAGAAAGAGGAGATAACAAACGAAGGTGGAAAAGCGGATCAATTAGAGTGAGAAAAGGAGAGAGGTAAAAAAAATGAAGGGTGGGTGGTGGACCCTTACACAAATAAGAGACCTGTTAGGATAAACAACAGGTCTCTTATTTCTTTTCATTAACTTCCACAAATGAGTGGTGGGCCCTTTAATATATAAAAGACCTGTTATCTCTAATATTAGATCTCTTATACTAAAGAGACCTGTTATTATAATCAACAGGTCTCATATAACAGGTCTCTTTTCCCATTTTTGTAGTAGTGAATGACTACTTGAGATTAGTGTGTAGTATGATTTATAGCACCGTTTCTTGTGCTACGAGGACATGATTGTCATAAATCATTTGCATAGGTATTGGTTTTGGAACTATACCGGATCGACCTGTGAAAGTACTTTAAGAGATTTAAATTCGTCATAAGTACAATTCTCATTATAGCTATCGGAACCTTTTTCCTCGACCATGAGTATTGTAAGTTCTCTTGTTTGAGTACTAGTCTGTTTTGATGTTGTCAAACGTCTGCCGTAAAAGGGGATTATAACGGCAACACTCGGGCAACTAGGTCCTCTTAGTAAGGGAAGCTAACAATATAAGACTGGGAATGTCCCCTTACTGACAATAGGGAACATCTCTTTGTTGTTTACAAGGCCTCTCGAAGAGTGAGACTGTGAAAATGCATGGTCGTTCTCAAATGGATTTTAGAAATCATTTGCTTATTGACAATCGAACTCGGAAATCGAGAAACACTTTTGGACGTAATAAGGATGACGAAGAATCTTACCTTATAGTTCATGAAGAGACATTAAGTGACATAGGAAATGGGCTAAACACTAACTGCACACTTGTCCGGAAGGACAAGTGGGAGATTGAAAGGAATGGTATCCTTCCAACAAGTGTATTATTCCGATAGAGGGTTCGGAATTATTAGAAAGCTAATTCTTTAGTGAGATCAAGTGATCGGAATGTCTAGGTGGAGGCCGCTTCCGATTAGTAGTATTAATATATAATTAATATTACAGCTTAATCTTGACTGAACCCTTCAGGTCGCACCCCAATCGAATAACCGATCCGAGACGACGAATCAATCTGAAGGATTGGATGAGTTAATAGAGTATTACGAACAAAGACGTCGGATATCGAGCTTAGAGCGTCATAACCGAGCGTCGTAACTCGAGTAGAATTTAGAATTCGACGAGACGTTAAATCAAGCAATCGACAAGTGCAAGCTAAGCCGTAGCATAGCATTGGCATGCGAGTGCTAGGCTAGCATGAGCCACCAACCGCAACGCATGGCTATGCCGCAAGCCAAGCATGCATGTGCGTGTTAGGCTCGCTGGCCGAGCATGCGTGCAAGGTTGGTGTGCCTAGTCGCACGCATGTTAAAGTGCTCATGTGTTGGCCCTCGCATAGCCACAGCTAGGCTGCGCATAGCACGAGCATCGCATGTAGCGTGCTATGCGTGCGTGTGTTGTAGTTGTGCGTGCTTGCTAGCATAGCAGTGTTGGGTTTCGTAGTGACCCGACACTACGTGGAAGGAAACCCCCCAAGACCCGCCCCTTAATTAAAGCAATTGACAAGCATAATAAACATAATTAAGAAAGACTAAGAACAAGAATTATACCTTTGTTGCGTGCTTCGCTCCCGAAGAGCTCTTACTTCAAAATCCCGAAACTATGAGATCTCCGACGGATCGTACCCTCGACCCGATCCGAGCGTCCCAAGTCTTGAAGGTTAGTCAAGACCCAGACAAACAAAACTATGAGTTTTACGAATCAAAGGTTTACTCTAATTACAAGAGTTGCCTTTTTAATTCCACTCAAGGTTACCCATTTCCAACACCCTTGAAGGGTATTTATAGGGAAATGGGTCATTAGTTTTCAATCTCCCACCAATGTGGGAGAGTTGAAAAATCAATGATTTATTTAATTTCCAAATTAAATAAATAATCAATTAAATCATATTGCGACAAGTGGCATGATCATGTGCAAAGGAGTAGTGCCCAAGGTTAGGTGGGGAACCATATGCCTTGCTCCCCAAGGGGTGGATTTGGTCCCCACGCCACTCCACAAAACCGGTATGTGGCTGCTGGGCTGGTAGCCAGCTAGCGTGCCAGCTAGCGCTGCCAGCTAGCACTGCCTTGCTGCCCAGCGTCCCTATCGTACGCACACACGCACCAGCCCCACGCATCATCGCCACTGTTGCTTGCTAGCCAGCACGCACTGGCACTCGTACACGCACATGCATAGGGCATTGCCTGGCATGCTACTGTGCGAGGCTGCTGCTGAGAGGATGCGAGGCACACACACGCAAGCCCCTGGCATTGCGATGGTGCTGTGCGTGGTGCCAGGCTTGCGATGGTGCCTGGGCTGCATGCGGCGATTGTTCGATAGGCCTAGGCACAAGCACACGCACGCACGCAAGCCCTTGGCATTGCGATGGTGTTGTGCGTGGTGCTAGGCCTGCGATGGTGCCTGGGCACTCGCACACGCCGAGCGTGCTGTGATGCGAGGCAAGCACCCATGCTAGTACTTGGTGCCAGCGATGGTGCTGCCATGCTAGGCACGCACGCACGCCAGCACCTAGTGCCAGCGATGGTGCGCCTAGTGCATGATGCTAGGGCTGCAATGGCGCATAGGCATCATGCTAGGGCTGCGATGGTGCCCAGCCATCCTAGGGCACGCATGGTGCGCCTAGGCATGGTGCTTGGGCTGCGATGGTGCCCAGCCATACTAGGGCACGCATGGTACGCCTAGGCATGGTGCTAGGCCCAGTCTAGCCTAGCAACCCACATGGCTAGGCCAGTGTGGTGCTAGGGCTATGTTCATACTTGTCGCTTTGTGATTTTGCGACGCTCGGTCTCGACGCCCTAGGCTCGATATCCGACGTCTGTATTCGTAAAACTCTGTCGACTCATTAAATCCTTTTGGATTAATTCGTCGTCTCGGATCGGTGATTCGATAGGGTTCGACCCGAAGGGTTCAGTTAAGATTAAGCTGTAATATCAATTGTACCTTGATATTACTGATCGGAAGCGGCCTCCACCTAGGCATTCCGATCACTTGATCTTACAGAAGAATTAACTCTGTAATAATTCTGAACCCTCTATCGGAAGAATACACTTGTTGGAAGGACACCATTCCTTTCAAGCAGCACATGCCATTGCAGCAGCTGGGCATCGCCCAGCACTCGCCTCGCACAGCAGCACACGCAACGCATCGCAGCAGCAGCAGCTCGCAATGCATGCGTGGCTTGCTTGCTTCGCGCATGCGATGGCAGGCTGGCCAGCCAGCCCAGCCTTGGCAGCCAAGGCAGGCTGCCAGCCAGCCATGCGTAAGGTCAGCATCGGTCAAAATGGGGACCGGTCTTGGTGGCCTTGCTTGGGGAGCAAGTGGTGTTTTGGTCCCCCTCCTTTAGTAGTCCTCACCTACCCTTGCTCACCATATGCCACTTAGTGCTTGTTGATTGATTTGCATTTTAATTTGTTTTTGAATTAAAATAAATTAAGCAAAATGCATTCTCACACATTGAAGGGAGATGGGAAATCAAGACTCCTTTCCCTATAAATACCCATGTTTTGGGTTTGGGAAAAAGCACTTGAGTTGAACTCAATAAGGCATCTCCTTATAAGTGAGAAAACCTTTAAGTTCGTAATACTCTAGTATTTTGTTGGTCTAGCCTTGACTAACCTTTGAGGTAGAGACCGCTCGGGTCGGGTCGAGGGTGCAAGCCGTTGGAGGCTTACGCACTTGCGAAGCTAGAGCTTTCAAGTAAGAGCTCGTAAGCGAGCGAAGCACGCATCGAGGGTAAGATCGTCTTTTCTCTTTCTCTCTCTTTTGTTGTTTAATTATGTGATTACATGTTAGTTACATTAATTAGTGTGCGGGTCTTGGGCGGGTTTCATTGCGCGTAATGTCGGACACTACGAAACCCAACAGGGTGGGGGTCGCCGGCGGGGGTGGGAACGAAGCTGGGATGCTGCCGACCGGGGGAGGGGGCTCAGGTGGTGGCTGGGTGGGTGTGGGAGGGGTTTTTTTTTAATTATTTCTAAAATAATTTGGATTTTATAATTGAAAAAAAAACTATACTCTAACTATAATTAAGATTTTAATTAAAAAATAATTAATGTTCTAAGCAACTTAAAATAATTATACAATGTTACCAATGATAATAAGGATTAACAATTTATTAAAGAGAAAACGAAAAAATGTTATATTACCAAAGAGAATTTACCTTTTTTTTAATTTTTTTTTTAGTTATAGCTTTTGTGCCCCTTGTTCAAAATACTCAAACTTTTCTCTTTTATAGGCAAAATTTTACACTATAATATTCTATGTGCTAGAGATACATTATTATACTCATGTGAACATTTTGGTTTTAGGCTCAACGTTGCATAAATTATTTTTACAACAGAATTAAGGGGGTAACCGTGACCTACCCCAGCTCCCTTGTTTTTGCGTCTAGCTTCACATCTTTATTTTAAACAATAATATTATATTGGCTTGACTATTAAGATCTTACTTTCATTTTTAATTTAAAGGGTGACAAGAATTAATATGGAAATATGGACTTTACATGAGAGGTGTATGTCTTGTCAGATAGAGAAGAAAATATTTTTTATTTTTTTTATTTAAAGAATTGTTTTAAAAACTCAATTAATAATAAGTCTTAGTATACTAATACCACCTATCGTCAAAAAAGAAATATGCTTTGTAATAATTAAGGTCGTTGAAAGTCAACTACTTAAAATTGCAATAATATATAAATTAAAAGTTTTTTATTATTATAATTCAATGACGACGACTTATAATAATGATTTGAATTAGGGTGTATTATATCCCTCCGATTATTTGAATTTCTTTTTTTTTTTAATAATTGTAACTTTTTTGAGGTTGAATGATCCTTATAATTAAATCTTTCTAAACTTATATTTGCTCTTTTTTTTTATTTGACTAAAATTTGTGTTTTATAGTTATGGTAAAGCTAGCATAGATACATTATATTTTATTAGAATCGTCTCAATGTTATGAATATGTCAGCTAAAAAAGAAAATTAAACAAATACTCCCCGTATTTAAAAAAGTAAAACGTTTCTCTTGTGCACGTATGCCACTGCAAAACTTTGATTTATAATATATTATAATTATCAATAAGTTATAATTATAACAATTGAATAATAACTATTCATTGAGACGATTCCAACAAATACCTAAAAGTCTATATTTTTGTATGTATATACATATAAATTACAAACATTAGTCAAAGAGGATTAAATGAATAGTGCAAAAAGTCAAAACGTTTCACTTATATTTAAATACAGAGGGAATAAAATATATCTAAAAAATAAATGAAAATAAAGCGAAACAATAAAGGCTCGTTCTGTATCATTGTAGTTTTAAGTCTTTTGGTTTTGCTTTTAAAAGTCATATACTCCCTCCGTTAATTATTATTTGCAACTTTGGGGGGTTTTGCGTTTCACGAGGCAAAATTTACGGGGCAAACATTAGTGGGAGTAAATAAAAGTGATTAAAGTGTTTGGAGACAGAAAGTTGGCCCACCCACTAGCAAATGAAAGTGATTAAAGTGTTTGGAGAGAGAAAGTTGGCCCACCCACTAGTAAAATTATTAAAATCAGATTTTTTAATTAAGGGTAAATTTGTAATTTTCAGGGTTTTTGTGTACTAAAAATAGAAATAAAATAGAAAGTTGCACATAATGGTTAGTGAACTAAAATGGCAAAAGTTGCAAATAAAAATTAACGGAGGGAGTATATGATATATGTCATATAAAAAACCTAAAATTAGTAAATCAAATGATTTTGAAAAACAAAAAAAGGCTTGTTTGTGATCTTTTTTGTTTACAGATTTCTGTTTTTATGAAAACAAAAAATCAAAAAAAGAAACTAGAAAAAGTTGTTTTTAATTTTTAGTTGTCAATTTTCAAACTTATCTTGATTTTAATAAGTTTGATCAATTCATGATTCATTACTCCCTCTGTGTTTAAATGAATGAAACGTTTTGACTTTCACTGAGTTTTAGAAAAGTTAATTGAATTTATTAAAATAATAGGTAGTGGGGTATAAGTTTAGGAGGTAGAAGAAAGTAAGAGGTTTTGTGGGAACCATTATTTAGTAAAATATTATTAAAAAATAAATCGAATTAGAGAATATTACGAGTATTAAAAAATAGAGAGAAATTATAAAAAGGAAATGCTTTATTTAAACATGCCTGCAAAAGGAAAACTTTTTATTTATTTAAATACTGAGGAATTATACCGAGGAAGTATATAACCATGATTTTGAAAAAAAAAAAAACTGAAAAGTACAGCGATACCAAACAGACTCGACATCAATGTCAATAATGTATATAAGGTTTTTATTATAGGGTTTAAAAAAATAATATAATTCTATTTTTTAGTAATATAAAAGAAAATCGAAAGCAAAAAACAATGACAAACAAGTCGACCAATTAACCAGATTGGTAAATAAAAAATACCCTTAGTGACAATTTGGTAAAAAAATAACTTCGGCGACAATTTGGTAATAAAAGCTAACCCTAAGCGATAATTTAGTAAATAAACTAATCTCAAACGACAATAAACCCAAAAAAAACAAAAAAATTCGACAAATTACTCGCGAATGCTTAACTTAGTTCGTTTTTCGTGTTTTTTACCAACCCTTTTTATGGAAATTAAATAACAATTTCAAGTTAAAAGTGTTTAAGTATCAATTTTCAGTTAAGTTTCATACAACTTATTAACGAATTTTTTAAAAAAGGGGTTGGAAATAAATTTAGTATCGGGATTTAGCAAAATAAAAAGGGGATGACATAATAATTCAAAATTTTAAACGAGAAAATTAAATTTAAAATCACAAAAAACAAGTTAAATTAGGATTTTTAACGAGTTTGTTGAAAAAACTTAGATTTTTTGGGGTTAGATGTCGTCGGAGTTTATTGTTTTTACTAAATTGTCGCCGGAATAAAAATTCTTACCAATCTGTCGCTTGAGATTTTTTTTTTTATTTTTTTTTTTACCAATTTGGTCAATTGGCCTAAACAAGTCCAAAGGTTTTATTATACTCACATTTTGGTTTCGTCTAGTTCTCCTAGCTTTCTTTTTCGAAAGGTTATACACACGATGACACGAGCAATAATTGGCACACGTGTAGGAGACTTGGACTCGAGAAAACTAAGGTAATGTTGCAAACTCTCACCTCTTAACTCTTCTCCTACTCAACATCAAATAACTTGCCTTCTCCTGCCTCCTTTCCTTTTCCTTGACTTCCCCCTTAATTTTTAGTATTTTCGCTCACTACTTATTTCCTCTTTTATATTCCTTAAAGCTAAATTTTGTATCTTTTTAATCTTTAAATTCTCCTCTTTCTGGGTTTTATTCCTTTTTTTTTGTACTGAATTGGGTTCATCACAATTATTGATTTACTCGACCCTTTTTCTGGTTTCTGTGCGCTTTGTTTTCAAGCAGGTATAAACCCTTAAGATTTAATTTGTGTTTAATTATTATTTTTTTGTTGAATTATATTCTGTTTTTTGCATAATTAGCAAGAATTTAAGGGTTTTGGTTGCTGATTATTTTTGTATTTTGCATAATTGGAATTTTGTCATATGCTTATTATTTTAATTAACAAGAATTTTATGATGATTAATGTTGTTGGTGTAGTGGATAATACTTTGGAGTATATACATTTTTTTTTTTAAATTTCTCAATTGTTTGGTTTGCTGATAATGATCGTTGGTGATTGGCATGTTTATGGATGTTTCTAATTTAATTTTCTTATGGATTGGTTAATACCTTTATGGATAATGTATGAAGTTTTACTGGGTGGTTATAACTTATAAGTGACGTTGATTGCGATAATATGATTTCCAGTTCTTTTGACGAAGCCAGGGTGTTGAGGTTTATTGACTTGAGTTTGTGACTATTGAGGCAATTCAAACCTCTTGGACTATAGAGCCTCTACATAGTTTTTTTGGGCATAGAGAGAACTATGAATGTCTATGATGCAGTATACGATTTGCGTGATTATGTTATTAAATTGCTTTGATCTGTTTAATTATTATTTTCTGGGACTTGTATCTAGGATCTTATCCTTTGCACAAATATGTTTGATTGGGCTGTTAATGTGTTGAATTTAATGACTTTGAGTTTTGACATGGTTGTCCTATTTGCTTTGAAGTTAATACGCTTGTATGAAAGTTTTTAATTGATGATGGAATAACTTTAAAAGTGCTGTAAATGTGTTGGTCATAATGTTTTTGGCCTGGCTCAAAGGAGGTTTTAGTTAATGATGGGATGATTTGAAAAGTGCTGTCAATGTGTTGGTCTTAATGTTTTTGACATGGCTGTTTATTAGGGAGAGAGAGCTATGAGCGAGCTGTATATTTTTCATAAATTTATCACATCATAGTGTCACCGTTCTGTAATATAGGTAATCTATGTGTAAATATGTGTTGACTGTGAACCTAAGAATTTTGAAGGGAAATATATCTGTTGCTGCTGCTGCTGCTTTTCGTTCTAAAAATTTGAATCCGGATTTTAATACCAAATTGATAGATTTTAGAAGCTTTAACAAATTCTCGGATCTCACCATATGGGGTATTTGGGTTATCCTCTCTCTGGTAATTTATCACTTAACATAGAAGCTAAGTAAACAGTTCTGGATTGTAAAAGTATAAATACAAATTATGGCCTATATGCTTTGATTACCACCAATGATTTTGAAAAATCCGATTAGATTTTATTCTGTGAAATTTCTTGACTGAAAATAATCGGGCACGCCCGAGGTGTAAATTATCCATATATCTGTATTCTACATAGACATCCCGTCTCTTATGGTCATTGTCATTAAATATGTTCAGCATTACTAAAGTTTCATCATTATCTGTTACTTCTTTGCAGATAAAGGTATTGCACAATCCTGACGCTGAAAAGGGTAACCTTTTAATAACCATTATAAGGTATTTGCTGACCATTTATGATCATAATGGATCCCAAAGGTGGATCTTGGGTTGGTGAAATGTATCAAAAGTTTGAGGCCATGTGTGCTGAAGTGGAGGAAGTTATTTCCGAGGTACTTTCAAGACCTAAATTTCGTTTTATGTTGTTCTATTAAGTTTTAATAGTCGGAAGCACTCATCAATCTATAATATGTTACTCGTATGAGGAAGAGATCCATAAAATATGATTTCTTTCACCTTTTCATCAATGGTAAAAAAAAAAATATTAGATCTATGATTTTACAAGGTCTCTTTATTGGTCTTTTTCCTACCTTCCTCCCTCTTCTATTCATCTGTCTTAATGTTTTCTTCTTAAGATGCTGAAATTTCCTTTTGCTGGATAGGATACTCTCAAATATGTTGAGAATCAGGTGCGGACTGTCGGAAAAACTGTTAAGAAATTCTACTCAGATGTCATTCAAGATTTGCACCAACCATCGTCATTAGATACAGTAAAATCTGGGGATCCCCTTATGACTGTTATCCATCATGGTGATGGTAAAATCTGTAGGAACCCAAACGTAGATGATAAAACTAAACCTGTTGATGCTACACCTGAGAAAATGGTAAACAATGTTAACGGCGCTGCTGCTTGTGATGACAGTATATATGGGTATTGTGATTCTGCAATCTGCAGCGTGATTAAGCCATGTGAACCAACATCCAATAAATCTCCTAGAGATAATAAGTGTACTAAAGTAAACTCTCGGATCCGTGGCACTAAATCGGCTTTATCAAATAAATCTACACATGTGGCAAAAAATCTGGATTGTAGAAAAGATTCTCAGAACAAGTGTCTCTCTAATTCTCCAAGCATAAATGCCACTGTGACAAACAATACTGATGAAGAAGTCACATTTATTGCACCCCATAAGGAAAGTGATAAACCTTCATTTGTACATAGGGATGCCAATTCAGAGGAGGCTTCCAAAGTGAGTGACAATGAAAATGACATAGGAGTTTCCGGGGAGATGATAGAAGGCTATGAAGGAGGTGATGTTATTAATGAAAAGGAGATGAGAATGCTTTCTGGTGAACACTTTTCAACTGACGTAGACAGTAAGTCTCTTTTTATGTTACTTGAACTAGATCTTGTACATTTAGTATCCATCTGTGACCTCTGGACACAAGTTTACGGTGCATGATTGAGTAGGATGGAAACCACAATCTGAGTTATTGTGTAAAGCCTTCCTTGGGGCCTATACATTGGATACTTAATTTTTAATCCCATTTGTTTTAATATATACCCTAATTCTGTATTTTCAATTACGTTTTCAGTATCACCAAAGAAGGCTGATGCTGCTGATTTGAGTGCCATAATCACCAGCACTAAAGAGAAGTCTGTAAAGTTTGGTGAGGAGGTCTCTATATCTCTTAGAGGTAATGAATGGTGACTGCTTATATTTTATACATGAAATGTGCTATATGACTGTTACACTGTGTGCACTTGACATCGTTAGCTCCTGTACTTATGTTTTAATTTGACCAAATATTTTATTTATTACTTACTCCGCTTTCCTAAGTTCTACTCATTTATTTTTTTTTATCTGTTTTTCCAAGTTCTATTAACTTTTACTTTATTCCTTTTATGACAACCTTTATTCATTTTTTATCATATACAACCTCACTTTGTGGGACCTATTATTTAATAAAACTCATACTTCCTCCGTATTTTATTACTTGCTCCATTGTTCCGGACATAGAGTTTTTAGGAGGAATAGTAAAAAGTACTATTTTATATTGGAAGTGGGGTTGATTGAAGAATAAAAATATGATAAAACAAAAGTGAGTATAAGGGGGAGGAGAGATGATATGAAAAATATTAAAATATGATATGAGGGTATCACTAGTGAGGAGGAAAATAGTAAAATATTGATATAAGTTTCCAAAAAAGGAAATGGAGCAAGTAATAAAATACGAGCGCAAAAAGAAAGTGGAGCAAGTAAAAAAAATAAATACCCACACACATGATCCCCTTCCCACTTTTTCTTGGTTTGCGTAGTTACAATAAGAGTATACTCAAAACAAAGGTATTTCAATGGATTAAAATTACTATTTATTTTAATTGGAAGAAGTTTGGATTTTATTTTATAAAGTTTATATTTATTTTACTTTATTTCTTAGATAATTGGTTAGAATTTTTTTGTAAAGGGCTGTATTTTTTTTTATTTTGAGAATTTTCGGACTTTTTTAGGGGGGTCATAAAAAACTGATTTTCATCACTCCCTCTATTTCATCATATACCGTAATATATATATATAGAGCAAAATCATGAAAAGTAATTGCCACTAACAAGCAGCGTCAACCCATCAAAGGTCGGGCCTGATCGGGCAACGACAACGCTTCGCTACTACTGCGTGGCTTTGGGTTCATTTTTCTCTAATTCCTTTGCTAATTAATTTGCTGCACCTTAACCCAGATATTAAACTAACAAACATAAATATAATCTTCACCGTGGTCATTAGTCATTACTGTATGACCCATTGAAAACTGCAATTGATTTTTTACCATGCATAGACCAATAACATACTTTATTAAAGCATAACAATTGCCACATTACCACTGATAGTCATTCCATGAATCACAATTAGCATATATAATACCAAATTACATATTTAATATTAATTAACATAATGGTATACATGTTAGCACTTTTTTATAAACAAGTCATCATTAAACTAAATCATAACTGACAAGTCATTAATTCTAAATAACCATGAAATAAATATCATACAATGAATAAGCACATTTATCATTTCATGCATGGAAAGAAAAATAATAATATAGAAAAACTAACCAATTTGCCATGGATAAACGCAATAATAAACTATCGCAAATTGCATCGTTTCGATGGTAACAAACAAACCGTTCTCCCACTTGTTTCTCTTCCTTGTGGCCTCCAATATTCCGTTCTCCCACTTTTGGCATCTTCGTAAATCCACGCCCTCGAACTTGTCTAATTTCTAGAACTTTGATGTCAATTCCTTAAGGGTTCCCATCTTTGTAGAGAATATTACTTTTGGATTGTTATTCAGTTCACGCCTCAAAGGTTTATCGTTGTTCAATTCCAATTTCATCTTTGTAACCCTTGTTCAAGTAAAATCCTCAATCTTCTCAAAACATGGGATTGGGGCTGAAGACAAAAGGAGGTGGGGCCGGCTCTAATGAGAAAGGAGGGTTAAGCATCGGTAAACCAAGGAATTGACATCAAGTTTCCGGAATTAGATAAGTTTGAGGATGTGGTTTACAAAGATGGCAAATGTGGGAGAAAGAATCATTGGAGAACACAAGGAAGAGGAATTAGTGGAAGAACGGTTTGTACGGTACAATCAAATCAATACAATTTGCGGTTATTTATTAATGCTTTTATCCATGGCAAATTGGTTTATTTTTCAATATTGTTTTCTTTCTTTCCATGCATGAATCGGGGAATGCGTTGATTCATTGATTGATTTTTTACTTCATGGTTATTTTGCATGGATGGCTTGTCAAGTTATGATTTAATTTATTGATGACTTGTTTATAGAAAAGTCTTAACATGTATACCCATTATGTTAACATGTATACCCATAAAGTTTTGTATTAAGTTCAATGAGATCAATTCTCTTATTTGATGGTTGGGAACCTGTTTATTCATCCAAGGTTAAGTTCCAAATTAACTATGATGAAAAGAGGTTGTTTATCTTAATAGATCTCCGGATATCGTGTTTTATCACAGGAGCATGTTTTAGGAGATCTTCCTATAAAAGTACGAAGTTTAGCTGTTTCAAGAAGCTATTGGGGCATAGCTTTGATGTGCTTATGAATAGATATAGACACATGGCTTAAAGTGTCAAGTAAATATTTATTCAAGTATTTAATCTTGTGTGTGTAATATCTTCAAGTATCTAATATTTATTGTGTGTGTAATATCTTCAAGTATCTAATATTTATTGCTTTAGGTGCAAACGTGTTACGATACCGAATGAATACGAATTCTTGGATTGTATATTGCACCAAGTCTTTGTACACTTTCATTTATGCATAAGATTGTTTTTGTGATGTCTGTCAAAAAAAGATTGTTTTTGTGATGAAAATAAAGGGAGTGATGAAAATCAGTTTTTTATGACTTACATTTTCATTCTCTAGGTTTGCTTTTATTTTTCAATATTCATCATCTCAAATTACACAAACTTGGTTAAATTGAATCATAATTATACTACACATAATTATGATTGTTTCTTCGTTGTATCTCCTAAGTGAATTAATTAATCATTGGCGAAGCAAGGTAATTAATTTTGTGTTATTGCATATATTTAGCATGTAGTAAGTTGTGTTATTTTCTCCTATGTGTAAAATATATGGACCACTTAACTAAAACAAGACATAAATTTCAAACCTTTGTATATAAAACAAAATTCGGACCTCTTCCAATTAAAATAAATGATTTTGATTCTTTGAAATACATAAAGCATTTAGCCAAATTAAAACATAGGTATCTTAAAGCATGTTCATTGCTTTAGTGGAGACTTGATTCTGTTTCTTTCTAGGAAGGTTCTTGTCCTTCAAAAACCTTTATATGTATAATGGGTCTAGGAAGGTGCTCACCATTGGCAGCTAAAAAGAAAAATAATGTTCTGTATTTGTTACCATATACTCTCCGTCACATTGTAAGTGTCATAGTTGGCCTTTTTTTTTTTTCTCTCTCTCCCCAATTGAGGAAAGCAATTCATTAGTTGGATCTATAGATTGTGTATTAGTATTTTAGCTTTGGCATTGTGTGAATATGATTTGGTAAATGTGCCCATTAGAGTAGGACAATAAAATGGGATAAAACCCAAATATAGATTCGTTGAACTTTCAGTAGCATACAGAGTAACCACACTGTTTGTTTCTTTAATCCCCTATTCCATTTTGCATTAGTGCCAAAAATTGTGTTACCTATGCTCTCTCCTGCTCATTTGTGATATAAATTAAATCTAGTGAATTGCCTGGTGCAAAGAGTAATTGGATATAGGACTAGATGCATCACATGCATGTCACAACTCTTCAGCTATAATTTCCCATCTTTGCTTTAGTGCTTTAGGTACTTTAATCTTTTATTAGTAGTCACCTGGTAGCAGACGTAACCGATCTTATTGGTTACCTTGATAACCTCCTCATTCTGTTTTCATTTTCTGCAATATTTCTGATCAGTGATCCCACTGTATCTAGTTTCTGGTAATTGAGTATTTCTGCATCAGTTGTGTACTCTTTTGTGCTTGTAGCTTAGCTCTCTCAAAAACGTAAATTACTGTGTTGTAAATGTTCTACACCATGAATGCATGTACACGTTATAATCTATAAACAAAACACCATCACCACTCACCACACCTGTTGCCTCTTTGAAACAATTTCTTTCCTCTAAAGTTGCATTGACCGCGGAAATTTGTACATTACTCAGAATACATATATATATGGCCGTTACTAAATTAGATAGGGAAAAGGTCTCAATCTGCAGGAGTATTTGCAGATTTTGTTGTAAAATATTCTATTACAATCTATATGTTAATATTTGAATTCCAAATCTTTGGACTCAATTTGCTTCGTGGTGAACTCCTTGTATGGTAATATACATTAGCCTGAATGGGCACCATTTCATCCACGTAGAATAAAGTGAGAAAAGAACGAAATTACACTATAGTAACTTACTCTGAAATATATCAATTCATTACACTATGTTGAATGGGATGTGGACATTAGCCCATGAACATGGAGGATGAGATTTAATTTGTGCTAGTGTGCACATAAGTCATCGTTGCATAGTACTTTGCAGCCATCACAATGTGAAATGATGAGGGTTCAAACATATTTGCGACCTTATATTGGATATATGGTACTTTTTAGCTACTCTTTACATTTTTGTGACAAGTCATAGGTCTTAAACTTTTATAGGAACTAAAGTAAGAGTCAAACTTTATCATATGTGCATTACATGACGGATTTAGTTGCAAATTACTTCGTATAATAGTTAATACAGTAACATAATGCCCAAAAACAAGTGATGCAGTTTCATTTGATAACATAAATTTCATAAATGCTGAATGGCAAATACAAAACTATTGACCTTTATGTAACCAAACAATCTTTACTTGGGCGCATTTGAATGGTGTAAATCACTTCCATTTATCAGATCTTATTTTATTTGTTGTGAAGCCTTTGCAGCCATGTACCATAAAAATCATGCATTCTTTCCTTTGCTTCTTTCTTCTGGAAGATCTGTGATTTTGAATAGATTATTTATAAATTTGGTATTGATTGATTCGATTTTGCAGAAACATTGCGTTCCTTTGATTCCAGTGAAGTCAAAGGATGTGATGCTGATAAACAAAATGTTCTAATTGGGGAACAACTTAATCTGGTCAAACTTGAGGACTCCTGTGTTCTGGTGGAGATGAATGATAACTCTGCTAAATATGCTCCTGATCACATACAGAAATCTTACAAGGTACCCGAATAAACTGCCCCCCACCCCAACTTCTTATCGTTGTGAAAAAGAAAAGAGAACATTCAATCAGTTGATAAATAGTTCCCACGTTGTCTCAAATCTCTCAATCCCTCATAACATGACATGACACAAATTTGCATTTTCTTGATACTTCGTATATTTGTTGACTTGAAAGACCCTCTTCAGTTTTTGTTCACTTAATTTGTGGCTCATTAGGAAATCTTATTCACTATCATTACTATCTCTGTCCGTCAATTGTATATCGCATTTCTGATATAGGCCATCTTGGCGAGTCCCTGAATTTAGAATTTGAAAATTTCTTCCTTATCCTCCGTGAACCATTACTAGTGTTGTGGAGGCGTAAAATGCTTATCTAGTGAGGGATATTTTTGGTCCTTTGGCGAAATTCTTTGAATATAACTCCATTCAAAAGTGGTTTATTATTTAGGTTAACTTCTTAAGTTCTTAAATTGGTGTCGATTAATTAAGTTCTGCATTTTTCCAGAAGAAAATCCAAGATGTGTTTTCACCAAGGAGATGGACAAAAGGCAAGCGAGAGCAGGAGCAATTTGCTGTATGGTATGAAGATCAAAGAGGAAGGAACATCTCTTCTTCCACAATGCAGGTAGAAATTCAGGAATCACAAGTTTCTGAATCCTTTGAATCGGACTGGGAACTTCTCTAGGACCATCAAACCTAGTATGATCACCGCAGATAACTCCAGTAGTCTTGCAGTGATGGCGCCCCCTTTCTCAAGAATTGCGGTGGTGTTCTTGTGAGTGTCAATAATCATGTATTTAAGTAACGTCCATATATACTGCTATTACAAGTTCAAGTTGAGATTTGGAAACTGCGAATTAATAGCTGCGGCAATTGAATAAGATTCAATTATCTCATCCCCAAGATGCCCTTTTCCTGAAGTGATTTGTTGTAAATAAGTTCCCACAAACTCAATCATTCTGCTATCTACATACCAAGTATAAATTCGCCGTTTTTTTTGGATATCATTTTGTTTGTGCCAAATGCAAAAATCAATAAGGGACAGTTAAAACGAAGGAAGTATGAGTATGATACAGTTTGTATGCTGTACACGAACAGGGGAACAAATTGATACAATCAAATTCAATAAAACAAATCAATTCCTAGGAACAAAATAAAACAACAGCCAAAATCACTGTTTTGGAGATATTTGGCTTTGACAGTGTTAATAAACACATATCAAGTTTTCAACTGAACAACTTTTTGTTCAACTGTATAATCAATCCTATAATAAAAAACAACTTAATACTATTTTCTTAAGAACTAGATATATCCCCTGAATCATCAAAGATAAGAGAAGCATACAACAATCTATTCCAAGTATCAGGTACTCCAGGAAGGCACCAATGCCCACAATCAGCAGTACGCGTAAGATTATACATATTTTTTTGAGCTCGAATCTGCCAGTCCTTGTACCTGTAGATTGAAGGATGTGCATCTATTCTATACTGCGACAATTTAGTAATGTCCAAGTACTTAACTTGTGATTTGCTCGACATTTCTTTGATCACACTCTTGGTAACACGAATCAAGGATTTAGGAAACAACGATTTATAGGACTCATCCATGATGGGTTGGGTTTTAGTATAGCACCATTGATTGTACTGTGGAGCTTTATGCTCAGCCGAAACACTCCTAAAGAAAACGGTTGTTTTTGTTTGATCAATGGTGTTTTCGACCCACCTTGCCCATGTTTTCATTGCTCGTTTGTACGCTATGTGTAGTGGCATATCTTTTACCAGCTTTCCTCTATATTCGAACAATTCCCAGCTGAAAATTGGAAATGAATTGTGGATTTAGTACTACGTACTTAATAAAAATAATAGTTCTTATTATGTTCTATGGAGTATATGATTAGAAAAACAATGCCATAATAATCATGTTGATCATATTTTTTTATCAGTTTCTTAGTTTTATTAAAAAAACGAAAACGAAAAAAAATACGGAAACCACAAAAAAGGGAGGTCCATATTGATGATGTGATTTTTTTCTGTAAGGAAATATATATGTTGTGAACTTGACTAATTATTATAGCCATGGCTATAATAATTTATTAACCATATTCTTTCTAATCATAAAATTAAAAACTGAAAATTTATAGTAATACCTAACAAATCCAGAGATTATTTTTGTTCCGTCATTTTGGAAAAAAAAAAAAAAGAAAGAAAAAACCAAACGTAATTATATTACGTGGTAATAATCATTTGTTGATTATGATCTCTTACATCCTCTATCTGCCAATACTTCAATAGTTTGATTTAATTTGTGAAGTTTGTAAACACACAAGTCTAATAACCATAAATAAATATAGGATGATTTATAAATAATTGAGAGTAGTTAATTTAGTTTGAAAATATGCATGCAATAGGATTAAACCAACAACTATGTTAGTGATCTGAAGTGAGAGTGACATTTATTTGTACAATACAGTAATAATAAAGTAGAGTCAAAATTAGTAGTTAAACTATTCAAAGAGTCAAAATATTGTATGAAATAACAATAAAAAAGAGGAAAATTTAATACCCGATTCAAGTAAATTGCAGGTTATTAATGCTTTGGTAGGTCTTAACATAACATAAATTCCTTTAGTAGTTGAACATGGAGAATTTGAATTATAAACCAATGCAATTTTAGTGAACGTGACTATTATTTCAATAGATTAAAATAGTAATGAGCAAAAAGAGTCAAAACTAATAATAATATACATTGATTCATAAATAAGCTACTTTTTTTGTTGACGAAGTATTAGACAAAAAAAGCATCACCCTACAAATATGTATAAATGCCTTGTTAATCTTAACGCCCTTCTTTATTATTTTAACAGTAGTAGTTGTGTGAGTTGGTAAAAAAGGGGCATCATAATTCATTTATGCTCAACTAAATACTTTATTACTTTTTCAATTCATAATAATGTGTTGCTTCTGTTTCGTTGGTGACTTTTTGATTTGCTATATGTCTTTCAATTGGTAGTGTTGCCTCTCTTGGATATTTCACTCCGATACACCAAGATATAAACCCTTTTATAGATAGCAAGTTTTCTTATTTTTTATTTTTTAAAAAAATAGCGTACGATTTTACAAGAAGACATTTCCTAATCTAAAAATCCCATGTATCTTACTTCTTAAAAAAAAAAAAAAAAAAAAAAAAAAAAAAAAAAATAAATTGGTAAATTGCATGGAATTCAGAAAAAAGTTACATGTCAATACAAATTATTTAAAATGTTAAAGGGGTTGGAAGACTTGGAACTTAGAAAGAAAAAATGGAGTAATATATTATAGACTAGTGATGAATAGACTTTATTTTTAAAAAATGTAAATTATTGAAAGATTTTTAATTAACAAAACCATAGGAAATATGATACAGATTGGATGAATGAAGTGTTTATTCCTACTTTATATATACACCCTCCATTCTTTATATATATTTTCATCCACACTTTATGCAGACTACCATTCATATACGATACGAAGTAAAATTTTCTATTATTTATTTTAATTTTAGAGTTATAAAGTATGAACAATTATAACTATGAAAAAAACATGCTTTTAAAAAACATTAAATCATCCACATAAAAATGCCTTCTTTTTTTTTTCTTCTTTTTTTTCATTTTTGTACTTCAAATTAAATATTTCATACTTCATTAGTAATATTATGATAATTTAATAGTTTATTTTGGTATGAACTTAGAAATTCATTACAAAAAAAGAATTATAACCTAGTATTCCAAATATGTAATAAGCATATTTGTTTGAATTAGAACGACTTACGCTTTCTTTTTACCAATTTGAGCCCACCAATGTCCTGAATTGAATACCATAATATCAGCTCTAGGCCACAACTCAGAATTAGGTGACAGTTTATCAAGCACAAGAACATTTTTGCCACTTTCATGGTTTTTGTTGAGTTCTACTAGGAATGGGCTCCAAAAAAATTCAACTGTGAAGTTATATTCATCCTGCAAGCATAATTTATATATACTCGATTATCAATCTTATTTGAAATTTTATCGTAGGACTAGAAGTTTAGTGTATGTACCGACCTTTACTTTCAAGAACGTTTTCAAAACTTTCTTTTGAGAATGAACCTCAGCTTTAGATGAAGCATTTGGTATGGAGGAATAGAGAATGCACGCGAGCGACTCCCACATGTTTCGGTTTAGTGAGTCTCCTACTAAGATCACCCTCTTGTTTCTAAATCGTTCCACCATGTCTGTTCCATTTAGCCTAGAACAATTTATGTACAATATGTTGTAAACCATTCAAGATATACGTTATAACAAAAGTTTATGTTACAATTAATTAATATGATAAATTTTGAAAAAAATCAATGTTTAATTTTCCAACAAATTAAACTCTATATATAATGGATGTTATGTAAAACGAGTAGATGTGCTTAGTACTAAAAATTAAGTTTTACTTCCCGTCAAAAAAAAAAAAAAAAAAAAAAGTTATTCTTACAATGGTATGTTACAACCTCTAGGCTTCCATACCCATTTTTCGTACTCGAAATCAGGCCTTCCATTTCTCTGGCAGCTCATCTTCTCCTCAAGGAACGGACAATTCATCACGTCGTAGCTCGGATTTTGATCCGGTTTGTAAACCCATCTCCCATCAAACATGTTACACTTCTTCTCACGCTTCATCAACGCCCGTGTTCCAATGTTTTTAACGTACGTAACATTTGATTTCTCAATTCTATAAACTTCCTTTGGCTTCTCTATGGCATTAGAAGTAACATTCTTAGACCACGGGATCAATTCCGCAACGACGCTAGCTATAGGTTGCGGAGGCTCCGAAGGCTTAACACTTATGCTCATTGCCTCAGTCTTCGACCTATATATCGGTCCAATTTCTAGTACCGTGCTTTCAACTTCTAAAAGACGTACGTTTTGGTCATTTTCGCGAAGTAGAAAGACGAGCATCAAACAACCTATTAGGCTACAAATTGTACAAATTTTCCATGTAGCCGTTACATTGGAGCTTAACTCCATAACTTAGAATTTTGAGTATTAATTTTGTTTTGTAATCTTTAGTGTTGTAATACTATAAATATGCATATATACTACATGCATGGCAAAAATAGGTACGTGTGTGACACTGCTAACTATATTAGTTATATATTGTAGTTGTTTTATAAAGTATCCAATGAAATTAATAAATTACTTTTGAGTAGGGTCAAGTGATATTATTAGACATAAGAAAATGTTATTAGTGTATGATTGAGCTACATATGGTCATGTGATGTTATTGGTACGTAAGTCATTAGTCGAGTGGTTGTACTTTGTTCCTAAATCTTAACTACTCTTATCATGATTGGATTCAGAATCTCTTTACAGTTTGCACCCAGACAAATTGGTTTATACATCAAAATTTTGAACACCTAATTATTATTATTATTATTATTATTATTATTATTATTATTATTATTATTATTATTATTATTATTGTTTTTAAATAAATGAGCAAGTAGAAGATATTCGATTACAGGTCTAGGATATCAATAAAAACTTTAACCAATACATAAAATATAGGGAAATTACTCTTAACCGTAGCTGTTTTGGGTTATTAAATGTCCCTTGGCAAGTAGGCTCGAATGTTGCAGTCACTCGGCATGTCTACCTGCAAAACAAGGAATATTCCGGTTATTGGAATATTCACCTTCGATGATCTAGTTAGTGACCGGATACGAAACTCGTGCTCTATTGAGAGAAGGTAGAGAGAAGGGAGAGCAAATTTGGATAGAGCCTTGATGTAATAATAAATGAATTTGTCCCATCAATTATTGATTGGGGTATTTATAGTGCTCTAATTAAAATTAGGTGCACTAGCTTAGGGTTTTGCATGTGCTCTAGCTGATCACTATCCTAACCTTCATTACTAAATTAATTGCTTATATGTGAAGTGGTCACACCATTTTGCTAACCACATGTTGACATGTAAGAATTTGTGTAATGCATGATTGATGTTTATGGAAATTGCGATGAGAAAGTGTTTGTTGAATTCAAAAGGTTCCTAATGATTTTGGGTTAATGCGTTATTTTCTAGGAATAGAAGTGCTTCAATCAGTAAATGGAATAATTCTATCTCATATTACAAATTAAATTAAAAGATAGTAATCTGGTTAGTATGTATTTCAATTGAATGTGGAATGAAGCTACATAAAGAATTAATAGGAAGAAAGTTGATGGTATGCTAGCTTTATACTCCTTTCGTTTTTTTATAATTTTTTTACGGGCGTGTAATGGTCGCACATTTCATGTAGGAAATTAGGTACTATATTGCGGAATTTCACGAATCATATTCGTTGGAACCTAATCAGGATCTACAAGCATAACACATAAAGAAACACATAAATTAGGCCTTTGATGCGTGATTTCCATGTGCGATCGACAACAAAATCTAGGAGAGCATTAGAACCTCAAACGCAATTCCATTAGTTGGTCCACAGACTAGGATTGAACCCCCATTAATGCTAGTTAGTCAAGAAGGAACACCTTCGAACCACCTTCTATGGAGAGGAGGAAAAGAAACCGGCCACGAGCATCACCACACACCATCATATACCACCATGCAGCACAGGCACACTCACGCACGTACGGAACTACGGACGAGGGGAGGAAAGGAGAGGAGACAGAGGTTAGGGTTTTAGGTTGCTTGGTCTTCAATCAATTGATGACTAATTGTGTGTCAAACCTAGGCAAGCCTCTATTATATATCACATATATAATAAAGTCCTAGGCAGGCCCAAACTCTTCTCTATTTCTCCATATGGCCGGCCACCCTAGTATAGGGCCCAACATTAGGCCTTCTTTCTTTTGTTCAATCCATCACCACAAAGTGTGACCTTATAGGATCCATTTTATTTGGTTTTAGACTATTTAACTAGCCCAAAGATCATTGATCACGTCTAGCAACAGATAATGACGACCCAAAGGAAAGAACTAATTATCTCCATAATATTGATCCAATAGTATATCTAGTAATTGCACTCGACGAAGACATAAATCCTTCATTTCACACTCATCAATTACAATTATATCAAACATCTCACAATCAAGTACAATGACAAGTAAGAGTTCGGTTCACAAGGAAACAAGGATTAATTGTTAAAGACCTTCATGTATTAGCTAATTCGAAGACTTGAGGTTTTCAATTGCTAACTAAGAATTATTTAGTCTATCCTTTTTCTCTTATAATTTTATGTTTTTTTATATAGTTAAATGTCTAATTCGAAAACTTGAGGTTAATTGTTAAAGACATTCATGCATCAACTAAATAATTAAAGTTTTTAATTGCTAACTAAGAGGGAATGTCTAAAACTATTCTAATCATTGGTGTCCATAAAGATATTAAGCCAAAGGGAAGTATTTATACTCACACAAATTACAATTCAGAATCCGTCAAAAGGTTGTGCAGAACATGTAGCTAGGAGCACTCACTCCAATAGGCAAGAGCGCTCATTCCAATCGAGGGTGCACGCTTACTCTAGTGCCTTCAAAGCCGGGGCAAATTAGAGCTCATCAGTTGGGATTGCCCACTCCAGAGTGAGTGTGTGCCTTCTCCTTGCAATTTCAGTGAATCATGCCAAATTTTGTGAAACTAGGCAGTAAGTAGATGAGGGCTCAAGAGAGCTCGCTCCTCTAATGGTTTGCACCCGCTCTTGAGCATGTTGGGCACTCCTTTGAATCTCCCATTGCCTTACTAAAATCACAAATCATTCTTGAACCTACAAAAACGAACAAACACACAATAAGGTGGGACACATAGGGCAAATACACTACAAATGTACCAAACTGAGTTAGAATAGGGTCAAAATAAATAAGAAGAAAGACTACGAAAACGGACTAAAAACACTACAAACTGGATTTTATCAGAATCCCCCAAGTTAGATAATTGCTTGTCCCCAAGCAATTTACTTTAGACAAAAACTAATAAATTAGTCCACTCAAAGAAGGGTGCATATAGGCGCACAGGGCCTATGTGTTTCACAAGCACATAGGAGGGCATTTTGGGATTTTTATTATTTTTTTTCTCTCCCTTAATAGTACAGTGGTACATATAATTTACCATTATGCATGTAGTGGTACTTTTTGCCATCAAATTTTACACACCGCTTTTTCTCATGTTACCATTATTTACAAAAAAGCCATCCTATACACTTCTTGGCCCATAGTTACTGTGCGCCAATAGTTTTTCATACCCTCACATCAGATTGCCACTAAAATCCGACAATAACTAGAGTACCCTTGACTAAATAATGGAACTAAATTGGGGGAAGTCTTAGTACATATATAAGGAGAAAATACAAGTTTATCTCCTTGATAAACATAATTTTAAGGCAAAAATGTAAATAAATCAACAACTTTTTTTTATTAAATATGGGGCCTATATTTATTGATTTATTTTCAAAACTGTCATGTTGACTGGATAAAATTGTTGATTTATTTACAATTTTGTCACTTAATAAACAAAATTTGTTTATCAAGAAGTAAGATAAACTGGAGCTTGGTCTACATATTAGGGTATATTAGTCATATTATGCAATACTTTAAATTTCAACAGTATATTTTGTGTATCATTAGAACTGATTTGGGTAAAAATACCCATGTCACGTGGCCCAATCAGAATGGACACGTGTCACCCCAGGACATGTCCAATAAAGGTCATTCACCAGTTGACACGTGGCACTCCAAATCAGCAAGGGAAAAAGACGGCTTTCAGGGCCCGATTCCCTAAACTACCAAAAAATGGCATAGCCCATCAGTCCTAGGTTTCTGTAACCTAGGATGGGGGCACAAATTCCAATGACCCTATAAATAGGTGGTACGACTGTCGCGTGTCTACCAAAAATAAACCTAACTCTGACCTCCTAAAAATATAGTAGGGTAAGCTAGGGTCGATCCCAAAGAGAATTAGATTATCAAATTATAACTTGTGTGTGTTAGAAACCCCTGTTTTGAACAATGACTATTACGATCTAATATATAAAACTACGGACTTGAAAATACGCTAAGTACGGATATGTAAAACTAACAGTAAGAATAAATATTAAAAATCAAGAATGACGAAATAAGGATCAGGAGATACAATATAGCATAGGGATCTGGGAGATAAGTATCGATTGATCATCGAATTATATAAATCATGTTTTTATCTCAATGTTAGCCAATGAGCGCAAACAAGCATTCGACACTTCCCTTAATTACAAATAAACCAAATAAGCTCTTGGAGTATTGTCTAACTAATTAATAATCTAGAATAAGCTCTCTAGACTCGATTAATTAGCAGCATTAATAACTAGGAAGTAGCTAACTTAAGCCACAAATCTCACAAGCTCAAATTCGTGCAACTTAAAGGGCTGATAATCATAGGCATCAGACAAGTTTCAGTCACCCATCAAACACCTAAGTGCTACTAAGGAGTACTAACACAGACAAACAATTACGTATCACACGGTAATACTCTAGCAATTAAACTAACAAATTATGCTAAAGATGGCCAGTCTGTAATATAATCTGACAGTTCATACCAATAAAACAGAATACCAATCAAATCCAGAAATAAAAATAATAATCTCAAATCATAACATATTCATTCCCACAGCATAATAATCCAATGTATATTATACCTCCATCCCGTATTAAATCTAGCCTAACATATCAAGAATTGAAGTACTAACAATGACACTTACATAAATCATATTTCTTAAGCATAAGATAAATAACTATAATGGAAAAAACATTAAAATTATTTGACAATATCTAATAACCGAATGAAATATTAAAGACAAAAATAACTTAACAATTATCCATGAATTGAAATTCTTGATGCAAAATTTATAAACAATCAATTAAACTATGAATACCAAATCAATGGAAGAATAGCCACAAACGACACTCCAAGTTAAATTCACCACTGTTGCTGCCTTCTTGTTCTTCGGTGTTTTTCTTCAGCTCCGCCGCTGCTGCTTTGCTGCCTAGAAAATCCCATAGCAAATGAAGAATTACATAACACAGCTAAGTCACCTCGACTTCTTCTGCTTCGCTTCACCGCTGTTGCACTGCTGCTCTGAGTTCGTTTTC